GCGGGGCAGGCGCTCCGCTGAGAGAGGCCGAGGTTGAGTTGGTCAGGCGTGTTCTTGACTGAGTGCCCTGAAACCTTGGAAACAGGAAGTTCACACAGCAGGAAATACAAACTGCTAGGTAATCGCCATATGGAAAGGTTTAACCCTTCTAGCCATCAGAGAAACATAAATGAAAACAAGGCATCATGAGTGCTGGAACAACACCCTCAGATTGGCGGGGTGGGGGTCGCATCTGCAGTGACTGCAGTCCAGACGCTTCAGGGCTCGCCCGGCTACATCGAGTGTTGTCGGCACAGCCTCTTGGCGAGCAGTTTGGCAATGGATACAGAGAGCCCGAAGAATATTCATAGCCTTCGCCTCAGGTTTTCCAGTTCTTGGAATTTTTTTCCAAGGAACGAATCCAGAATAAAAAACTCCCTGTGCAAAGGTGTTAAAAATGACAATAGCAGAAAGTTCAGAGGAGATTCTACAACAGAGAAACCGTTAACTAAGAATCATAACAGGCGGGGTTACTGAGCAGCCGTGAGGTTTTAGTCACAGGGATAAAATGCGTGCAGTCGTGATAACAGGACAGGAAATTGGAAACGCAGTGAGAGCCGCTGTGTGCGCGTACAGTGCTCCAGGAAGAAATCCGAACCTGCCAGGGTGTTAGCGGTGGCCCTCAACTTCTGGGCACTTTCTTTACTTGGCTGCTTCTTTGTGGCTTAGGTACTTTATTAAGTTTGTTCGACGCATACTTATTACTTTGCAATCAGAAAGTGAAAAAAGATTGAACAGAGATTTTAGAGAAGCCAGTAAGGCTGAAGGGAGCATCTGTCTCAGGGCCCGGAGTCTGTGACCCGGCAGGGAGGCCGAGCCCCCTACCAGTCCCTTTAAGATAAGCGTGGCTTAAGGCCCAGCTCTGCGCCGCCCACACAGCGGGCTCCATACGGCAGTGCCCGGGGCGGGAGGTGCCCGGGGCTGCGTGGCCATTTCTCACCGCACCCGCCTCCTCCCGGGCAGGATTATACCAGTGGGGCCCTGCTCACTGGTGAGCTCAAGAAGACACTCATTGAGGTCCTGCAGCCCTTGATCGCCGAGCACCAGGCCCGACGCAAGGAGGTCACAGACGAGATCGTGAAGGAGTTCATGACTCCCCGGAAGCTGTCCTACGACTTCCAGTAACGCCCCTTTTATATACACGTGCTGAGAGACGTAACTTACCAGTCATCCCAGCCCAGCCAAATCAGCACTACCCTTAGACTCCGTCGCACGGTAATTACTGGCCTGGTGTCTGTAAGCCCTGTGTGTGTACCAGTACTGTTCCTTCTGCTGAATGTCACTCTCGGTCTCGTGTGAGCATAACCCCGTGGTGAGAGTGGGTGCCAGGGGATGCTGCATGGTCGCGCAGACAAGTCCAGCTGGAGTCTCTCCCACAAATCAGCTGCAGGGATGTGGAGCCTTGGGCTAGGTGTCCACTGGCCAGCCTGCTCTGGTCCATAGGATGACAGCTATTTGAAAGCATCCTACAGTTTCAAATAGACTCTTAAACCTGCTCTATAAAAGAATACGTAGTCTACGCGTGCAGACCTAGAGTCAAAATGTCATGCCCATAAAACTGGAAAAAGAAAGTTTTGAAAAGTTGATGTGGCAAAGTTTAATGAGCACAAGACGTATTTCAGCCCCTGCCCCACCCCCCCAAAATTAAAAATTGCTAGCTAAAAGCTCTGCTGTACTTCTGACTACGAGAGATCTCTGCTTGAAAGCTGCTCTTAACGTTGAATACTGGCTAGAGTTGACTAGTTTTTATTAAATTGAGTCTTTTGTGGGTGAAACTTCCCAGTTTACTTACTAAACGCCAGACCATGCACGCACTCTACTCCAGAAATCATGCTCTTTTCCCCAAATGTACTAATACTATGTTTCCACCGAGTGATCCTAGACACTCCGTGGCCACTTTGCTCCGATTGTGCCAGGTGCTGCAGGGACTCTGTTGCCTTTGCAGATGCTTTTGTTTTGATGCTCGACTGATGTGGAAGTCTCTACACAAAGCAGAGCCCTGCCTGTGTCCCCAGACAGGTGGACGCAGCTAGACAGCGTGCAGCAGCCCCCAGGGCCTTTTGTGGTGTGTCCAACAGAGGCCTGTTTGAACATGCGCCCTGTGTAGTTTGGGGAAAGCAGAAAACATCTCAGGGAATGCCCTTGGTTGAAGTGTCTGCCCTTTCTGGAGGCGCAGGGCCCACTCCTGACTGCTCTACTCCAGTCTCGCTCACAACAAATAAACTCCCCTTCATCCCACCTGTGTCACTGTGCTGTCTGGGGTTGGAGGTGCAAGCAGGGGCCTCGCTGCAGTCGGGGGCTGTGCTACACCTGCCCCTCCGTGGACGGCCCTCGACTCCACGAGCATCACACTTGGATAAATGTGGGATGGACACACGGTCCTGGAAGCCCCCATGGCGCTGAGGCGCTGGCTCCCAGGAATCAGGAGCAAGGAGCCTGTCTGCCTTCCGAGCTCTCGGCAACATCCCTGATGCTGACTCTCACACTGAGTGTGATGTTTCCAACAGCGGGTGGGGAATGCAAGCAGATGTCTTCATTTGTGGGAGAGGGAGGCAGCCACAGGGTGGTCAGAGCGGTGCCGGGTAGGGACAGTGGCCAGACTGTGAGCTGGGCCAGGCCATTCACGGGGGCCCAGGGCAGGCCCCAGCCGGAAAGGAGCTCTGGGCTCACTCAGCTCACCCCAGCACAAGTAGGGAAACTGAGGCTCAGGAGAGGAGAATGTGACTTGTCCGAAGCCACACAGTGGGTTTGTTGCAGAATAGGCCTGTCCTGACTTTCGTGTTGCTCTGCCCACACACAGAGGGACCAGTTTGCACAAGGGCCCTGAGGTTTCCACCCTGGGAGGCCCCAGTACCAGTGTGCAGCTTGAGCTCACCCACGTCTCTTCTCCCTGCCTTGATTCCCGCCGGGCTGGGCCCCTGCCCTCGCTCATGGCTGGATGTGGCCCGTGAAGTGAGCCACCCATGGTGGGGCCGTGGGAGTGTGGCCTGGGCAGCTCAGGCAACCTCTCGTTGCTCCATTGTGTCCACACCACAGGAGGGAACACAGTGAAGTCTCCAGGGCAGCAAAGCTGCCCCTTCACTCAGCCAGAGCATCATCCTGGGGCCACAGAAAGGTGACACAGGCCAGTGACTTTGGGTGGACCCCCCCAGCTCCCCATAAAACAAAAGCAACACCACCTCATGTGGGTCTTAGGAGCTGGGCCCTGAATCTGAGGTCAAGGGATTTGCCCAAGGTCACTGCTGATAAGACCCTCCTACCACCTACACTTTGCTAAAAACCAGTGGATTCTTTGCTGAGAGATGCCCTGGATTAGGACAGGCAGCAGCGGCGGGAATGAGGCGGGAGGTCGGTTACCATCCCCCGTGACGTGAATGTCTAGCCCTCAGACCTAGCTGTTCTTTGGTCCCCGGGTCTGGCCCGGCCCCATCAAGCTGCGTCTGGGACAGTGAGAGCACACTAAACAGAGTGGAGAGCTGGCGGGGGCGGTGAGGGACGGCACCGCACAGCGAGGCCCCACACAGGCCTCAGCACATGAGCCCAGCAGCCCCGTGGTTCCCCAGTAAGCCCTCGGGTGACTACCCTTTATCTCTCTCATTCAAAACTTCAGGTGCAGCTTGGACTTGCTTAGTGGGAAAACCTAGCTCTGGCCCTTTGATTCTGTGTCTCGCCCTTCTCTTCTGCACTCTTTCACTTCCCCGTTTCTAAAGAAAGGGCTGGTTCGGTCCTCCAGAGGGTCCTGGCACCTGGAAGTTGTAGCAAGAGCGAGGCCCTGGCCTTCCCACAGAGCCACTTCCCCAGCTTGGGTGGGGCCAGCGTTCAGTGACCGATGGTCCCCACCCTACCCCAGGGAAGGGGTAACTCTCCTTCCAAGGCCACAGGAGGTGGGCACGCTAGTGGTCTTCTTGCCAAGGGTGGACGCAAGGACAGGGTTTGATGAACACTGAAACCTTTTGTTAGTGATGCCCTTCCCCCAGCACCCGGCCAAAGAGGCTCTCAGCCTCTTTAACTGCAAGTGTGATGAACTTCGAGGATGCACTGCAGGGCTTCATTCATTCACTCATGCATTTATTCATTCCACACTCCCTGAGCACCTGCTATGTGCCAGGCTCTGAGCTGGATATAGTCCATATCAGACGTGCTGATCGTGGGCAGCTCGTAGTCTTGGGTGGGGTGGGGGTTGGGGCAGGAGGAGGATAGTGACCAGACAATGAACCAGGGCCCCGTGGGAGCAGAGCAGACCCAACAGCAGCC